AAGCGTCCTGGTCGCTCCGACATTGCTTCAAATACTCTGACTGCACGACGAAGAGCTTTATGAGGCGAGCTCATCATCTGTTTGTTGTGGTTCAAGTGAAAGGTCAGATAACTTCTGCAGTGATTCACACATCAGATTATTCACAAAAGTGCAGGAACTTATGCATAGTGCAAAATATTTAATTACATTTTTGTGTTTTTTAATAAAATTGCCCATGAGTTTGAAATTTTAGTGGTGGAGCTGTTTTTAAGAGTAGAAGTGGAAATTCGAAGTGAGAGCTCTGATGTGATATTAGGAAACTTGTTATGTTTAAAATTGGTGTAATTATTTTCAACTTACATATCCAATATTGGCTTTATTTGTTTAAGGCAGCCAATTTAGTTTATAATTATTATTAGGCCTGAGAGTTATCAGATCTAAGCAAACCGGAACGCACCCTGTCAAAATAAGAGAGTTCCTGGATCTTGTTCCCGCAGGATCTGGTTCAAATTAAACCCTGAATACTCTTCAATACTATCTAGGAATATGTGACATCTTTTCTGTAAACGGGCTCTTATGACAAAAATGTGCCTAAATGTGCAAAAATAAACAAATAAAGTTATATGTTTGTTTTTTGGAATCTTTAAGTCTGGTTCTGGAAACATTTCTTTAAAGGTTTTTAAAAGGTAATTTAAAAAGATTTAAAGGTTTTAGCCTATTTAAATCTAAATGTTGTTGACATATTTATCTAGAGGTTTAGTTAAATTTCTTTGAAAATATGCAGGTTTTTCCAACTTATTTAATAGTTGTTTTCTTTTGAATTATAATTTTGGGGACTGCATGGAGATTGTCCAAGGCCCACTTTAGGCCCTCAGGCCATATACTGTCCATATCTGTGTTAGATCAAATTTAAGGTCAAAATCTTCATGAGCATGAGTTATAGACCTTTCTATGTTCTTATGGTCAGCTGGGCTGTGGCAGCCTCATTGATTAATTTATTAACCTGTATTTCATCAGTCAGACCCACTGAGATCACAGATCTCTGGTTCAGGTCCTTCCTGGGCCTGAAGGCAGCCCAACAGGCATGTTTTAGACTGTGGGAGGAAACCAGAGAAAACTCACGCTAACACGAGGAGAACATGCAAAACTCCACACAGAAAAGACCCTAGGTCCAAACTGGGGATTGAACCAAGGACCTTCTTGCTGAGAGGCAACAGTGCTAACCACTGAGACACCGTGCTGCCCATTGTGCAGTCATCTTAAATGGGGTTGATTCCAAAAGTGAATAATTTGTAGATATATGTCCAATGATTGATTTCTGCAAGTTATGTTAAAATTTGTGCAGTGGTTCATCGAAGGTTTTGTTACAGGGATGGTAGTATATTTTGTCAATGGTCAACAACAACAACAACAACAACAAAACAGCTACTGGTTAGGTTTGTGTTATGGGGTTGGAAACTATTTTCTGCCCTGTGCACATGAATTAAATGGCTTTTGAAAACAAAACTGTCAGCAACTAAATTAAAAACTAAATAACAATAAATCCCCAAAACTTCACATTTATTCTTGACTTTGACAGGTCTAGAGAGGTCCAGATCAGTTAAAGGTGGTTGCCCATGCTGGCAACCTCAAAATAAAAAAGAAGGTTTGTTAAAATCGTGCAGATGTTCTGCAGCTAAAGAAATTAAAATTGGTGTCACAAATGTCCATTTCAGTACAATCTAGAGCAATAAAAAGAATTCATTCTAAGTTAGATATACACATGCAAGTCCTTAAAGCGTGTCTTTACATATACATGTTGTCAGATTCAATTAATTTTATTTATATAGCACCAAAGTCACAACAAAGTTGTCTCAGGGCACTGAACAGAAGCATTCACGTACATAAAAAAAAAGCCAATTAGTAACATTATCTATCTAAGAAAGCTGGCAGATTGTGTTGAATCTTCACTTTATCGGTCTCCCATCCTGAGCAAGCACAAAGGCAACAGTGGGAAGAAAAAACTCCCTTTACCAGGAAGAAACCTCCAGCAGAACCAGGCTCAGGATGAGCAGCCATCGGCTTCGACCGGCTGGGTTTGAGAGGACAGGAAGTGGAAACAGACAAACACAGAATGACAAATCCAGATGTGTTTTCTATTGGAAGAAAGACAAAAAAACGTTAAGTATATAAATAATTACAAATACAAACAGGTAGAGTAGAGTAAGTTACTACAGGAGCAGAGTGAGGACGTGTGGTCAGTTTGTTAGATTCAGCAGGTAATAGATTAGTGTCAAGTCTGAAATCGAGCTGTTTTGAATGGAGGGACTCCTCTCTGAGTATCTGTGTGTTGGCCTCCACCACTGAACCCCTTGCTAAGGGAGGGAAGAATCCGTGATCTCCCATCAAGCACTCAAGAGAGCGCAGCCACGCAAGATTGATGACACCCTCTGGAAGAAACAAAAGATGTGCCGCCTGCGAGAACTGGCTTCTGAGACCTGATAGACTCGTCTCTTAATAAACATCACTGATATGTCAGCCACGCCACGTTTCACCCACAGCTGCATCGTGGAGGGTGCACCGAGCCCCCACTGCCACACTGCGCTCGCAGACAAAGGTTGCATAAAAATGAGACTGAGGGAAGCAGCTCTTTGTGTTGGGATGTCCACCTACATCTGTGAGGAATGTTAGCATATAGCCAGCAGCTTTATTGGTGCAAATGTAAAAGATAAAGTATCAAATACATATACACATATAGTGTACACGATACAGATACTCGTTGCTATTTTGTTTATTTTTGTCTTCTTTGTCTTGTCATAAAGCTTTGAAATGAAACATAAAGATTAAAAAATATTTGACTCTGCTGGGAATACATTTGGTAGTAGTATGCAAACAAAATGTTTAAATTCATAAAAATGTGTAAAAAAAAATTTTTTTAAAGTGGTGATCAATGGGGGTTTGCCAAACAAATAAGAAAACTTGATCCCCTGTAAACTTCAGTAATACAGTAGAAACTTTATTCAACATTTAAATGAGTGACATAAAGTTGGACTTAATGTGTCTCATCTGGCATTACGATATGTTGTAAGATTTTCTTCACAATTTGTCTTTTTTTTATTTTGGGGGGATATTTTCACTGAAAGTTCAACTCGGTTAAAAATGACACACAACTTTTTTGCAATTAATTTTTTTTATTGGTTTTCAGAAAATGTGAAATTTTTAACAAGATATAACACAAATAACAAATATTAAAAAATAAAATAAAATAAAGAACATAAAACTGGTGCATCCCCCCCACACACACACACACATTTCCCACTCCCAGGATAAACAGTACATTACAGGGAATATA